ACTATGACACCACCACCACCACCACCCCTCCCCACCTGTTACTAAGCCGGCCAGGGACAATCTTCCTCACCACTCTCATCGGGGGGGTAGCCAGTGAAGAAATGAGATCATACCTCCTCTAATCAGAATTCATCACATCATTGGACGATGCAGCCAATGGTCTGCATCGCACTACACCAAACAGTAAACAGTACTATCTTGGGATTGTAGGCCCGCATCAGGTGGTTAGCCCACAAGCGGGGTAAGGAGTGCCCCCCATTAAGTTACCACTAAGTTGAATAGAACTTTTATTGCACCAAATGTTTATTGAATGCTCTAAAAAAAAAAATCTTTTTTTTGATAGATATCTTTCTTTCTTGAAATTTATTTTTATTGAAATTCACTTGTTTTCAGACTGAACAACAGGCTTAGAAGAAAGAGAAAATAGAATATGGGATGGACTAAAAGAATATTTAGATTTAGTTAGAGGAAAATCTGTATTTTTTATGGGAGATAATTTGTTAGAAATTTCTTTAGCTCGATTTTTAATTTGTTGTAGACTGTCAGTTGGAATCATAGATTTATATATGTCTTTTCCTTTAACTAGAAGTTTTTTCCTGGAAATTGAGGCCCTGTCCAATCATCCAATTTTGTTTTGTTCAGTAGCGCTAGCTTAATTCAAATTTCGTCACTTTCTAGTACCCATTGCCGAAGGCGCCCTTGTCGGTGGTGAATGCTCGTGTAGTGTATTCTTCGTGCCTTACTGAGGCCGAAGGCGCGTTAGGGATTGCCTGTATCGCTCTGATGTTATGTGCACCACCAGAACCATTCCTAAGAGTACCAATGTACAATATCTGAGTTTTTGTGCTATATGTAAAAAAGGGACCCTGGGCCCGATTCCCAGCAGGTGCTGCTCCCCACCAATAGATGGAGCCGACACCGGACCAGCTAGAGGTGACTGCTCCTACCAGCACCTCAAGCTGCCTCTGAGGTTGTTCTTTGCAAAAAAAATAAAAATAAAAAAATAAAATAAAAAACAAAAAAAAATCGAAAGGTTGTGCGGCAAGGCCCTTAGGGCACGCTCACACTAGGTATCCAAATTCGCAAAAAATGGGAAAATGGGAACGGCCATTTTGAGGAAATGCGGCCCTGGCCGGTCACACTGTGTTCCCAACACGCTAACGACAAGGTCGCTACATCGTACTCTGCGAGGTGCTTGGGGAGGGCGCCGGTCACACGGTGGATACCTCAAATGGGAAATGCAATTATTCGTTTTTTATAATCTGTTTTTTCCTTCTTTTTTTTTTGGGTCGTTACTGCTGCCCTTCGCACCAACGGGTGTCCATACGAACCTCTCTGCTGGTGCTGTGTGGAGTGCGCCCCTATGCTGCCCGCTTCACATAGTGCCAAAAAAATGCACAACGGGAGACATACAATTTGAATGCATCTGAACCGTTTTTTCAGGCATATACATGAAGTTCACAGCGGAATCCATAACAGGATTTTATTTGATTTTTTTTTTTTTCATGAATCTCTACGCGTGTTCGACCCAGATTCTTAACAATTTATTTTTTTCTCTCGAGACAGCTTTGACTAGGCTTCGTGCACCTGGTTTGGGACCAGGTACAGCCACCGGGCTATGGGGCTTTGGGATTGTGGACGGCACACAGACAACTACAGTTCATCTGAAGCCACTTCCGATCCACATACATTCATCGGGCTTGGAGTGAAGCAACGTGAACTAAACACATGGGCCAGGGGCAGAAATTGGAATACATTGAAGGAATCGATCGTTCGTCGTCCGTTCGGGACAAGGGGACACAGCAAGATACAGCGGGCGGAACTGGGGGGAAGAGGGCGGAGAAGCGGGGAAGCCAGCGGAACACGGGCGCAAGGCATGTGAAAACATGCGCGGAAGGGGCTGGAGGCGGACACGTGGAGGTGGACACATGGAGGCGGACACGGAAACGTAACGCCCAGTTCTTCAACGCAAAAATAACGACGAAAGTGGCACGGCAGGCTAACGACAACTGGATCAACAAGGGATTGAAACAAAAAAAGGGCCACGTGCGTCTAACCGCTCCGCGCGTGCGCCCATTTCCCCAAATCTCCGTTTCGTCAATTGATAGGCCGCTAATATTGTGGGGTTCCATTTTTTCTCCAATTTTGCACGGTAATTCGGAAAAAGATTGAGAATTTGCGGTAACCTCTAGAGGTCACCGCAAATTTCCTTCCCCCGCGGCTTCGCAGGCCGCTGACAAATGGTCACCCCTTTTTAGAATTTGGGCAGATGTTCACCATGTGTGACTGTCCGGGAACCCTTTTTTGGGGGGGAAATGGGGATTTGGTACCTAGTGTGAGTGTGCCCTTACTCATCCGTTTCCAGTGAAGTTTGAACTCAGCTTTGTATTGAAAGTATTGAATTGGTGTCCCCCCACACCACTCACCAAACATCGTTTTTGGTGATGTTTGGTGAGGTGAGCGTCGCTGCACCACCTCACCAAATCGGTTTTGTGACTCGTGAGGATAAGTGTCAGAGTTCGTGAGTTTTCGTTTGGTGATGACTCACCAACCAATCCCAAAGTCCCAGCCTGCAACTCCGTTTTTTTTTTTTTTTGGAAAAAAAAAAGGAATCCATTATCATGAAACATGAGGCCGGGAATTCCTCACAAACAACCCGGAAATGAATCAGTCACACCTGTGACCATTACCCAGAATAGGTTTGTGGGTTTTTACCCCAACAACACTTCAACTCCGGTTTTTGGTAGTAGTAGCTTTTCGGAACGCACGAAATTGGCGCGCTTCCGACCATGCAGACTGCTTGTCCAAACCCCTGTTTGTAGGTTAGCTATATGGGAGCCTCGCCAAAACGCTCGCCAAACATTTTGGTAGCTGCGCGTGCTTCCGGTCTATCGTATGCCCCCACCTCAAAGAATCTGTATGCTGTGCAATTTCCCCTCTACGCACCGCGCACGTGTGTTCCTTTTTTTTTTTTGGCCCCGCTCCCGAAACCCGTACCGGGGGCAAGGTCCCACTTGCACGGATTAAGAAATTCTGGCCAATGATGTTTGCTATCTACGGTCCATATCGCTTAATTCGTGTAAGTGGGACCTAGCCCCGGGTAGTGTGAGGGCTTCGCCACACCACTCTCGAGTCCTTGTGAGAACCCCTCGTCGGGGGGCCACTGCTCACCAAAGTGTCCTCGGTCTGGACATGGGTTCGGTGAGTTTTCAATTTTTGTGAGGTAGTGCGGCGACGCCGAGGTTTGGTGAGTTTTTTTTTTTTTTTGAAAAAATTTGGACCATTTCTCGATTTATGCGTGTCATCCTTGCGCAGGGGTGAAGTCCCACCGCCCAAGTTTAAGTTTAGAAAACGTAATGTGTGACACCATTTTGACATTAATAAATTCGAAACAAGAAATTAAAAAACTGAAAAAAATCGCTAGAAACAGCTTTTCTCCTTATTTTTTATTAAGTAACTCAGAGAAATGAAACACGTCTGGCACAGTCCGAGTGAATGGGTCTCGCTGCACTACTCTACTTTGCAAAAATTCAGAGAGTTATGCATCGCTGCACTAACTCTACTTTAGAACCCCAAAAGAAATTCGGAGAGCTGTCAGAAACCACAAAAGAATTGCGCTCTCCGACGCCGGAGAGTGCCCAGCCTGCAAAATCCGTTACTCGGATAGACCTTCGAAGGAACCACCGATTTGCTCCAAATCTGGAGAGTGAACCTCGAGTCTGGGCAGACAAACGGGGAGTTTGAGCTGTCGTTTGTTGTAGAGTCTGCGTTTGTAGAGTTAGTGCAGCTATGACCCAAAATCCGAGAAATCGGAGATCTGACAAATCTCCGCGTACTCTCCGATTTCTGGGAGAGTGGAGAGTAGTGCAGCGAGACCCAATGTCTCCGTGGAAAAGGGATACTTCCCTTGGTGAGGGGACAGGAGGTCACCATTCGTAAAATGGACAGGGACAACATGGATGGCCAGATGCGTTCATTGCCCAAAGAAGGAAGAGAGTTTGATGCAAGAGAGCGCCAAACAAAGCTGTCAGAGCTCGAAAGGCAAATAAGTTGAGAATTGTACCCTGCCCTCTGTAGGGTAGTTTTCTCAATGGAAATTGGTTTCCGGCCCAAACCGAAAGGGCCAAAGCATACGACAAAACGGATTTACGTCAATGAAAAAATGTACAAAACCACCAAATCTAATAGGATATTCTCCTGTATTTCGGTACCCTTAGATTCTCAATACATCAACGGCAGAACTCCGTCCCACCATGCCACCCGTGATAGAAAGCTCAGCGTTGAGAAAACTCAACTTCGGCGGTGGGATTTCACCCCTCTGGGGCGAGGTCCCATTAGCAGTCGGATAGGAGTGTGGCCGATCCAGTGTGACACTGAGTGGCAGTGGCCAGACACGTTCATTACGAATTTCTGGGCTGAGGAAACAGGAGAAATTCCAAAAAAAAAAGAAACAGAGACCTCCCACCGGAAATCACGGCAGAGTGCTTCCCAGCCGGTGGTTGCAAAAACAGTGAACAAAGTAACCGCCACATTTTTTTGGAATAAAATCGATTTCTGTCAGAAGTGATCCTGACACCCTCCATATACTCTGTGATTGAAGGAGGACTCCACCCAATGAGATAATTGCACAACAGCAAGTAAAATGCTGAAAATCTTCTATCCAGTGGGCTAAGGCCGACCCCAACCTCGTTTGGGGTTGGCCACACCCCCAACCGATTGAAAAGATTCTGGCGGGAAGCTTTCTTTGCACGGGCATGCCCAGTGTTAAGGAGAGGAGGAGGGGAACAAAGATCTCCTTACTTTTTCGGGTTATACATGTAAAATACTGACCGTGGGATCACCAGTACTGCACGGCAGGATCTGGGTCACTCAACTGTCCCACAAACTCGTTTCTATCCTATCCGGTTGCTAGTGGGACCATGCCCCAGGAGCCATTTGCTAAACTTACCCTTCTCTGTATCGTTCCAATTTGCTCCGAGCTTGGCCAGTTGGCTCGCGGCACCTTCCACTTTTGGTGATTGGCGCGTCGATCCCCAGCAGGCGCGCGGCAGAAGTCCGAGGGCGTAAGCAGCACAAACACGTCTTCGCACATTGGTTTGAATTGGACTGCAGTGCCGAGGGCGTACGTACGCAGCACAAACACGTTTCTGCACATTGGTAGGAAAAAAATAATGTACTTTTGCGTAAATTGTATAAGCTGCTGACTCAGCTTACCCAAGGTGCTGATTGAGGAGCAGGCGGAGGTACTGCTGGCGCTCAAAGCTCCCGCGGAGATCGGCCAGGCGGAGACGGCGATGGCGGCCCCTGGTGGTCCATCTGCTGAAGAGTTCGATGCGGATCGCGACTGCCATTTCATTAAGGAGGTTCTGGAAGGTTGGAAGGCCTATCAGGCAACGGGTCATAGAGTCTGTAGATTGATCTCATGTGAAAAAGTTTTTTTTTTTTTTTTTTTTTAAAGAAAAAAAAGTTTTTTTTTTTCTTTTTTTTCTTTTTTTCTTGTTATAAACCACCAGTGCCTGGCCCAGCTATCGGCCATGATGGAAAAAAATAGAGTAGAAACGTTTCTAGTCGGATGAATTTGGGCGCTCCTGTCGTGAGCCGTACGTTTCCTAAAATCGTGGCGCGTTAACGGGCACGACTCTAGGAAGCTGCACAGTGTCGAAATTCGTTCCCGGCCCCTTTTCTGCTTTGGTAATAAATGACCCAAAAAAAAAAAAAAAAAAAAAAAAAACTTTTTTTATTTTTTTATTGACCTGAAGTTGAAGTCTCATTGCATGGCGAGGAATCTCACAAAGAACCATCGAACAACACCGTAGAAATGTTCTAAACGTTATAGCCATTTTTGCTCATATTCAATGAATAAAAAGTTTGTTGAAGTCGGTCTGACTGTTGCTCCAAAAAAAAAAAAAAAAAAAAAAAGTATTGACTGCTGCCCCTGCTTCCGCGGCTTCTATTAGTGCTGCTTCTACGGATATTGATAATAATGATGATTGGTGATGAGTCGGATCACCATGATAGATCACCATGATAGTAATGATGAGGATGATGATGATGTTGGTGCGATGATGATGATGATGATGATGATTATTATTATTATTATTATTATGATGATGATGATGATGATGGTGATGATGAATAGAGCGATGGCGATGACGAAGGCGATGCCGTACAGAGAAGTTAAAAAGCAGGATGTAGCAGGATGTCATCGTGAATGGAACACGATAGAATGGATTGGATTGGACGGCGTCCATCTCGGCCCTCTGCCCTCCCCTCCCCTGCCCTCCTCTGCCAATGTGGAGAACGGTGCTCATTCAGACGAGGATCACCGCACTTCTGAAATCTGCGGTGCGGTCTGAATGAGTAATATTGATACACACGTGGACGCGTTTGCCTATAAGTTCTGTTTGCGTTCATGTATGTGTGCCTCCATGCAATATTATGTGCGCGCGCGCGCGAGAGAGAGAGAGAGAGAGAGAGGCCGGGAAACGGGTCAGTTGCGATGGACGGGAAAAGACCCGTTTTCAAATGGCGGAAAACGTGTGCCTTATCCGAAATTCTGAAGGAGTGATTTAATGTATGTATGTGTTTGTTGTCATGTTCGCTGTATAAAATTCCACAAAAAAAAAGAATATGACGGTGCCGGACTGTCTCGTCGGACTTTCACCGAGCTCATTCCGTGCGTGCGTGCGTGTGTGTGTGTGTGTGTGTGTGTGTGTGTGTGTGTGTGTGTGTGTGTGTGTGAG